CAAAATAAAAGCAAACAGCATTCCCCCCTTCAGACCCCCCCCCCCCGGAGAATCCCGTTGTAGCTGACAACACAGTAAACATTCACCTATTTTTAACGATGTTTGCAAGGATTTCAAACCATTTGAATAATTAAAGCTTCTCTACAGACAAGGTGCTATGTGATTTGCACTCTGTTCTTGTCAGGCCGCACTTTCTTTTCTGAGCTGGTGTCTCAGCTAAAGTCCAGCACAGGAGCAAGAGAGAGACAACAAGATGAGACTTGCCGGAGGAAGACGTATTTATGACTAACATGACCTCTAGATCTGGACAAGGGGCAGGCAGCACTGATAGTCTCCATCAAGTCCATTCCATGTCAGCTCTCTAAAGGGAGAAGGTGAATGTCCGAAGAAACCAGGGGAAGTTTTGCCAGGTGTGAGATGGCTGAGAGCTTCATCCTACAAACCGGGAGCAAGATTTTGAAAGGAGATTTATTCCAGAGTAAATAAGGGAGGCAGTTAACAAGAGAATGGGGTTGAGAAAGCCCATCCCTAGGCACAGGAAGTCCCTACCTTAACCCTGAGGCCTCAACTTCTATTCCATTGCATCCTGTTCTACAATAGCTCACATATACGCACACAGCCACTACTCTACATATATATACGGCCGTAATATCTGAGCAAAGCAATGCGACCATGTCATGTATCATATTTGTTCTCGCCAGTGGGAGAAATGTGCACCATTGAGCATCTCATTTTGGTATTGATTAAGCATTTATGTTACAGGAGGGAAGGTCAAAGAAATACACCTTGCCCTCGAGGTGAAAGATGGTAAGGCTTGCAATAGTACTGAATTCCTGAGGTAGTTCATTCCACAGACTTGAGCCAGCCCTTGAGAAAGTCCTGCCTCTTGCAGAGACTTCCACTGTGTCAGAGAAAAGTAGTTATCAACTAACTGTTGAACACAGCTTTCATCTCAGAGATACTGGTGCCAAGTGAGCTTTGATGTTAAGTGTGCAGGCATGGAGCATCTTGAGGAGAAGGACTGAGAGCTGGAGTTTGATCTGAAAGTCTATGGCAAACCACTATGGAGAACAGGATAGGTTCGATGTGGTTGTGGTAGGCTGTGATGGTGAGAAGATGTACTGCAGCTTTCTATATTAACTGAAGTTTCCTAAGCGCTGAGTCTTCACATTCACACACATCACACAACTGTAGGCCAGCTGAAAAGTGACAAAGGTGCGAATAACTGAGACTTGGTCATTGTCTACCAAGATAGCATGGAGTCTCCCATGCCACTTGAGATGGCAGAAGGCAGCATCCACAAATAAAGCCACGAGAGCACTTAGCATCATTAAGGAATCCAAAAATACTCCTACCCTGTACACATCTAACCAATTGCACCTTCAACCAACAGGCAACTGTATCTTAGCTGGAAACTCTTCAAAATGCCTTCCACTGCTCACTAGTATCACCTCCATCTAGCTTGGCTCAGCCTCAGGCAGCAGTTCCTTACCCACAAGAAGATCAGATCTGGGTATTAAGCTGGTATTAAGCATGGTAGTGGTGGATTGTACGTGACAAAAGGACTGGCAGAGTTGCTGGCACATGCGTGTCAAACCCAGTTTAGCTTATGGCTGCATGTAGGTTCTGTACTGGCCTGGAGAGAGAATTGATCCCGAGGGATACTAGGGGTGAGTACCCTAGTGCTGGAGATGCAAGTTGCTATCACCAGCCATTGGATGCGTCCCTCTGGGAAGGACTCAAAGCATTTCAGCACATTACAATGGGCCCCTGCCAGTTCTCAGGGGAAAAAACACTCATGGTCAACAGCATGAAATGATGCTGAGAGGGCCAAGAGGATGGAAATGAAGGCCTACACTTTATCCCTTGACAGGAGAAGCTTGTCAGTGCCACTAAAGCGGTTCCATATCTTGCCTTGAATCCAGGTTGTTCTGGGTTTATAGAACTGTATCTTCAGTGAGATGAGCTTGTAGGCAGCCTTAGTCTAGCTGTTCCCTGATCTTACCTAGAATGGGGTCATTTGAAACATCCCATTGGCTAGAACCAGTATATTCAGGGCGGCTTTTTCAATGTTGATCGGTGTCGTAGATGTTTAAAGGCAAAAAGGAAAACCCACACTCCGATGACTGATTCAGTGATCCATAACTCAGCTTCCAGATGAGAGGGGCAGTTGCTGGGAACAAGGGGAGACTCTTTTGAGTATCCAGAACTTGGAAAAATGCACCAAAGTGCAGAAAAGCAGCAGGGCTTTTGGTTGGTGGGTTCAGGCTGACTGTTTTCATCCCGTTTGAGAATACCTCCCAAACGCATCACATCTTTTCAGTGAGTTCTTTGCAATTCTTGGTGCCTGGTTCTGATGCAGGTTGCAGTCAGCTTTGCTGGAGGCTGACAGGAAGGTTCTCTTGGCCTGTAATACATCCTCAGCATAAGCTTTGCAGGCTTGTTTAAGTTTCATCCTGTCTGTGCCAGTCTATTTTCCACCATTGGCACGTAAGTGCCTACCACTCTCTCTTCACCTGGCAGAGAGATCAGAAAACCAAGGAGATCTGTGTGGGCTCTGGGTAATTGTGAGGAGCAGCATGCACATGCTTCAGGCTAGAGTACAGTGATAATGATTCACTCCTCATTGGACAGATGAGGTGCTGTTGTCTTAGATCTGGCCTTGGAGTTGTTGGGAGTTCATGCATCTTCATGTCCAAATTAGGATTGTTGATCTTTCTGGCAGCTTGAAAGCTGTTTGATCATTGCCTTCTTGACGTGATCATCTGCCCGAGACTAAGACTACAGTGATGTCTCACAAGGCCTCCTTCTGACCTCTTGGAGAAGTCAGAGCACAGCAGCTTATGCTTCTGTTGGAGATGCTTCAATTCTGCTGACTGGGGTACGGCCCCTGTGCTGCACTGTAGGTGGCTGAAGGTGTATGCAAGACAAATCTGCCAGCTGCCACAATCCCCATCATAGCTCATGTCTCCCCAGAGTGCCCTTTGCATTCCCATGGCAGTGGGGTCATACCAGGCTATCAGAAGTGTGTGAGCATGCACTCACACTTTGCGTGACTTTGTATTGATAGATGCTGCCTGCTGCTAGTTGTAAAAATAGGTTAGTAAATATAGGTAGGTGCAGACACAGTCCACGTCTTTGAGGCTCATGCGTCTTCATAGCCCCAGCTGATCAGCTCATTCTGTAGCAGAGGCCTGGCCTGAACAAAATGAACTAACTACACTACTGAAGGGCCTGTTTTGCAGGTAGAAACATGCTGATGCTAGGCTTTTGCTAAGGGCAGCATCACAGGAATGATTCCCCCCCAATACTCCTTACCCCAATATGTTAGTAAAAAGTATAGGTAGCTCAGACCTAAAACAACTGAGAATGAAACGGTTGATGCCTCAGGATGGGGAATTCAAAAGCTTGTAGGTTCGCAGCACTCC